ATGGACCTGTTGGATGGTGTCTTAGGTTGGACTCCCTAGAAGTAGAGTCTGAAACATGGATCCGTTTACAAGTGCTTTATTGCAGGAGCCCTCTCAGGATAATCTTTTAAGGGAGTGAGAGAAGCAGGATAGGGAGAGACATGAAGCTAAAGTAGGTATGATTTCAAGTCCATTCTAGCCTCCGGCTGATCCGCTGGGGGAGGGAGCTCCGGAGTTTTGTGGGCCAGACTCTTTCCCACCTTGAGGCAAGGGAGCTGTGGTTTTATATCCCCTTACCAATTACTCTTTGGCTGAAGGGCTTCCCTGGGGTATGCACTCAGGAAGTAACTCCCAGGAAACTCCAAGGGAAGTAACTCAATAACCCAGAGGTAATTCCCCAGAGAAGATTGCTAACTCTTGCTGCTGTACTCCATGAGCCAGGGGGTGGACGACCCAAACCAAACTGGTAAAGTGATTCTGGCAAGGGACTGGGGGATGGGGACACACCAACACCTCCTCCTACATCTCTGCCCTAAGAGCCCTGATCCTGACACCCCTGGTACTTATCACCTCCCTGCTCTGCTGTCTATTCTAGATTGTCTTCACCCCTCACCCTCAGCCATCATTTCTGCTTTTCTAAGTGGCCTGCCTGATGGGGTGCATGAGGTGATCCAGACGCACCTCCCAGAGGGTCCTCAGCCTCCAGTCACAATCATCAGACAATCCTTGCTGTATGTTCCCATTTACAGTTAGAACTAGGCATGAGAACTTTTTAAAAGTCCTGGTGGATCATTTACATGCCAAACACGGGTCTCTCTGCCTCCATTATTCAGCAGCAACCCTAACTCCGCATGAAGATCACAGAAAACCAGTTACTTATCCTGCCAGTTTGTCAATTCCTTTCCTTTTCCCCTTTCCCTTCCTTTTTCCCTTCCCTTCCTTTTCCCCTCCCTCCCTTCCCTCCTCCCTCCCTCCGTTCCTCCTCCCTCCCTCCCTCCTTCCTTCCTTCCTTCCTTCCTTCCTTCCTTCCTTCCTTCCTTCCTTCCTTCCTTCCTGTTCTATTGTCTTGAAGAGCCAAACACTACCTTAAGGCAGTTGTAGCTTTAACTTTAGCAGGAGGTTTACTATGTTCCCTGGTAGAAGCCCTCTCACTGGGATCCAGAACCTTCAACCCTCACAGCATAAGGCTGTAGGCAACAGAATCAAATAACCCCACTTGTTCAGAACAAGTGGCGACAAGCAGGGGCATTTCTACAACCACTTTGCAATCCTTGGACAAGGGTCATTTGTTTAATGTATGCACTAACTCTAAAGTATAATATCCCATCTGTGCAAAAGGCTATTTCCCAGCTGGAGTTTAACTGCATCTTTAAGCAGCCAATTCATTACTCCAGCACGCCGATGCTTCTGGACGGTGCCATGGTTACGTGCCCACTTTATTTGCCATAAAGTGTATCCTTGACCTGATCCCATGCCCACAAATCAAGCCCTGATAAGACCCTGGATAGCAGGGCTGGCCAGTGCACTGCAGAGAGTGATGCCAGCCAAGCTACTGAGGGCAGGAGGTGCAAACGCATACCCAGAAACGTGTGTCAAGAACAGTAAGGACAAACCTTTGCTCCCTCTAGGATAAAAAGGGTCTGATGTACTCAACATACTAACAGATATTAGAGACAGTGGACCTCCTCAAGTGATGGTATGATATCTAGTGTCTAGCATCAATCTCTATCACTAATAGATCAGAGATGCAGAAGTGGCAGTAACTATAGCCTTGGGGAGAGAGAGTCTGTGCTGTTGGACCTGTGCATAGCCTCATTCTTTACCACCGTGGTGGCTCTTTCATTCCTGAAACCATTTGTGCAAGCACAGGGCAGCCGAGAACAGAGGCTGACATTCATCAGCTGACTGCCTCATTCCATCCACTTGCTTATTTCCTGACTCTTCCCCAGGGGATGCTCCCTGGTGTGCACTGACATGAAAGCAAGATCTCCACAATTTGTACCCACTATCACAGGTCCATTCATGCACTTCTTCCTCAAACTAATCTTCCAATATTGCCCTTTCCAGGGCCTGACAAAACAGCCAATCCATTCACCGCAGCCCGCAAGTCCGTGTATATTTTTATCTTGGGCTACTTCCTTCTCACCACAAAGTGGATAACCAGTTGTACCACCTGAAGCCTTCCCACTGGGAGGATTTCCCCTAACCACTGTCTTTAAGAGTTGGGTTATAGTGAAGCAACAATCCAGTTTTGCTTTGCAATAATGTACCAAGTCAACCCATTAACGAACCAAGCTTAATTTAAGTTTCCTTCTTTTATTACATCCTTATAGAGACCTCCCATGAGTCCACAGGTGGGAGCTAAAAGAGAGGCATTAATGAATACAATAGAGGGTGAGGTGGAGATCTATTCACTCAATTTATTTGTGCCCTCTGGACCTACACAGTCTCAGCATCAGATGCATTGCTGCTGGCACAACAACTGTATGACCTGGTGAATCTAACAGCACTTACTCGTGATGGGAAGCTTTGGTCACAAAGTCATTATCCAATGTATCACGATCAGATTCTCAGTCTCTGTTAAAACCGTTAACACACCCAAAGCCACTTTCTGAATGGCATATGGTTCTCGACTGAGGACAACAGGGCCCTGCTCCAGGAGCCCAGGGTTCTGCACTCAACTGTCCCACTGAGGCTGGCCTGAGACTGCACACAGCACCTGCTGCACCACAGGTACTTCTAATATCAAGGGGTCTTCGAATAGCCCAAGCAGCAGGGATGCTAGTACTGCAACCTGGACCTCATGTAGAGCTTTCTTATTCCAGACTCCCTTTGAGGGTAGCAGACTTCTCAATCATCCAATAAATGGATCAGAGTAGTATTTCAAAATGCAAATTGTGCTGCCTCCAAACCAAGAGGCCCAGCAAGTGTTGTGGCTCTTCCTTAGTGACAGAAGGCAGAAGGTGCGACTATTTGTCCTTTATTTTTGAAGGGATGTGGCAGCATGCCACTGACTACTAGACCCTGAAATCTTATGCATTGATGCCTCAGGTCCCTGGATATTTATACAGTTTCTCTCACACCCTCTGGGGCCATGCATTTTACGAGGGTATCCGGAATGCTTGCCATTTTTCATACAGTCTAATTAACTTCATGCAATTGTTACGGTCATCCAACATGATATGCTCTACAAAATGTCCAGATAATCCAGATCTCCCTCGGCTCTGTGGAGTAGCCCTTCCCCCATAGTCCTGGGCCCTGAGGTACTGGACAGTGGCAGCCTAGCCCACTCAGACCAAGCAGGTGGCTCCACTCTCTGAAACCAGGGAGAAAGCAGCTTAGGCCCCTGGGCCTGTGGCGGAGTGGCAGCCATGATGATCTCTGAATCGCCTTCAGGGCCATTCTCTTCTCCTGAAGGATAATGCATATTTGAAGCCAGATAGTTCTACTGTCCTGTTCTGTAGAATCCCAGAAGACCAACAGCCTTCCTTCATTCTGTCCCATTTTTTCTGTTCCCTTTAGTCCAGCTGGCAGTGTTTTTGCTAGTATAATCCCAGCCCTCTTGCTGGCTTCAGCTGAGATGGCTAATTAAATCATGAGTATTCTCTTTGTACTGTGATTATCCAGCTACACCTTTGGTGCTCTCTCTAGAACATGCTTTCTCATTTTTTGTAATGTGGGTAGGCTGAGTATTTCCCAAATCTTCAAGTTCTTGTTCATAAAAAATGCTCAACATAATTATTCATTAGAGAAATGCAAATTAAAGCCACAATAACATATCACTACACCCCACTATAATAGCTTTAATCCAAAAGACAGACAACATCAAATGTTCATAAGTATGTGGAGAAATTGGAACACTCACGTATTGCTGATGTGTCATGTAAATTGGTACAGTCACTGTGGAAAACAGTATGGCAGGTTCTAAAAATGTTAAGCATAAACTTACCACATGACCCAGCAATTTCACTCCTAAGAATCTATCTAAGAAAAAGGACAATATATGTCCACATATGAATGTTAATTAAATAATATTCATAATATTGAATATCTGAAAACAATCCCAATGTCTATCAACTGGTAAATGGATAAGCAAAATGTGGTATATCTGCATTTATTAAGAAATAAAAATGATCTGATAAATGGTACAAAGTGGATAAACCTAAGTGAAAGAGCCTAATGCAAAGGCCTACATTTTGTAGGTTTCCATGCATATGAAATGTCAGAAAACAGACAAATTTGTAGAGACAGAAAACAGATCAGTGGTTTCCAAAGACTGGGGATGAACTGCAAATGGGCATGAGGGAACATTTTAGGGCGACAGAAATATCCTACAACTGGATTGTGGTAATGTTTGCTCAACACTATTTATGTACTACTATAATAATCATCATTTAAAATGGGTGAATTCTGTGGTATGTAAATTATACCTCAATAAGACTGTTAAAAAATGAAGTGTTATCAAAAGATTGGCCACTTCCAAGTTGGGCGGGCTTAATTTTCTTTCTTTCTTTTTTTATCTCCAAACACACTTAGCATATATTTTGCACATGGCAAATCCTGAGAAATATTTGTCAAATAAATGAATGAAAGATATTTCCCTTTCTAATAAAAATAACAGAATAAAAGGTTTCTTCCTGTCTGAGAACTGGCAAGTGCCAGAGTGGAGATTGAAAAAGGAAAATTTAGTGAAAAGATATTTTCTTAGACATTTTGAAGAAAATTATTCTAATCATGTTGACCTCCTAGATGTTACTCAGGTAAGACACTTAATTCTCCTACACTATTTCCTGTACATGAACCTTTAAAAATAATCTACCATGAGTAAATGACAAATGTTAAATAAAACATAATATTCTGACTTATATATTTGCTTTTACTGTAAAAACTTTAAACTACTTATCAGTAGAAATATTTGATACTTATATTCATACTAAAATGGGTTTGACTTATTTCACAGATATGTAACAAAAATAAGAAATTTCATATAAGCATTTAGATTATGAAAACATGTCTCTTACGTTTTCTATTTCTGAAGTGTCCTTTGTATTTGTTTGGATTTTCTCTGGAATTATGATTTGTAGAGATGAATTTTTAAAACCTGAAGAAATAAAAAAAAAGTTAATAACCCCATCTTAAATTTGAATGAATATCTTCAGTTCCTTTCATAAGGTTTACTTATGCATGTATGGGTGGCTCATCACTATGTACTATAAAAACCTTGAAAACACTTATTTTGAAAAACAGAGAAGATAACTATGAAAGACCAAGAAATTAGTGGGGAAGAGGTATTCATCTTACATAAAATGTGTTGTTTCAAAAGAAAACAGAAAATACACACTCAAAATATCAAAGATATACTTTAAGAAAACTTTCCTGAAATAAAATATTTAAAACAATAGACTAGCTAGTATAATGTATTTTAGGAATAATGGATTATAATTATTAAAACTGAGAAACACTCTACTAAAGTTATTGGGATTCCAAGATAAAGAATCCCATGAGAATATGAGATAAAAAGGAAAAAAAAAATCATGGCAGGTATAAGGGGAGAAAAGCAGGCCAGCTTGAGAATTTTCACAACAGTATTTAATGTTAAAAGACTCAATAATAATGTCTTTTAAAAACTTTAAGAAAACAAAGTGAGGACCCTATAAATTTATACCCAGCAAAAGTGTCATTCTAATATAGAGGCAAAATGTAAATATTTACAAGTAAAAACTCAAAAAATAATAATAATTCACATGTGCCAGTCACAAAGTCTGTCAAATTTCTCCTAATAAAGATGTCAGTAGAGTCGTGGCAAAAGGCCTAGTAGTGACCATTAAATAAACTTTAATATAGAATAAAGGTTAAGACAACCATTGGAATCATAGTTATATAATAGATGCACATGTTAAAAGCTATAATGATATAGACATGATTATATATATATATATATTTACACACATACACACACATATACATATGAACAACATCAGGAATTGTAGCAGAATAAGAGGAAGACTAAATAAGCATATTGATTTCCTCAAATCTACTGCAGGCAGTGGTCAAAAAATGTGACTTAAATCTGAAAACAAGTAGAAGTAGAAATGTATCATTCCACGGTATAAAGGTACAAAAAAAATGAGAATAAAAGTAACTGTAATCATTAAATGCCATGGCTACCATCATCATGAACGGAGAAAACTTTAAAACCTTTCTTATAAGAACTGGCACAAGACAAGATGCCCACTTTCACCACTCCTACTCAACACAGTATTGGAAGTCCTAAACAGACCACTCAGGCAAGGGAAAGAAATAAAAGACATCCAAATTGAAAAAAAGGAAGTCAATGTCATTGCAGATAACATAATCTTATATTTAGAAAAACTGAAAAACTGTATGAAAAAACTATGAAAACTGATAAACAAATTCAGTAAAGTTGATGGATACAAAACCAACATATGAAAATCAGTAGCTTTTCTAATCACAAATAACGAAATAGCTGAAAAAGCAATCAAGCATACAATCTAATTTATAGTATCTACAAAAAAATAAAAATACTTAGGAGTAAATTTAAACAAGGAGGTAAAAGATTTCTACAAGGAAAACTACAGAACACTGATGATAGAAATTAAAGAGGACACAAACAAATGGAAAGACACCCCATGCACATGGATTGGAAGAACTAATGTAGTATACAGATTCAATGCAATCTCTATCAAAATGCCAATGCCATTTTTCACAGAAATAGAAAAAAAATCCTAAAATTTGTATGGAACCAAAAAATAGCCAGAATAGCCAAAGAAATCCTGAGTAAAAACAACAAAGGTAGAAATATCACACTATCTGACCTCCAAATATAACTCAAGGCTTTGGTAACCAAAACAGCATTGTATGGGTACAAAAGTAGACACTTAGATCAAAGGAACAGAATAAAGAACACAGAAATAAATACATATATTTATTGTGAACTGATTTTTAACAAGGGCACCAAAACACACACTGGGGAAAAGACATTCTCTTCAATAAATGGTGCTGGTAAAATTATATATCTATGTGCAAAAAAAAATGAAACTGAACCCTTATCTACCACCATACACCAAATCAACTCAAGATGAATTAACAACTTAAACATAATACCCAAAACTATAAAAAACCATTAGAATAAAACATAGGTAAAATAGTCCAGGACATTGTTCTAAGCAAATATTTTATGGCTAAGAACTCAAAAGCACAGACAACTTAAACAAAAATAGACAAGTGGGACTATATTGAACTAAAAAGTTTCTGCATAGCAAAAGAAACAACAAAGTGAAGAGATGACCTGTAAAATAGGAGAAAATATGTACAAACTATTCATCTGATAATGCACCGATTTCCAGAATATATGAGGAACTCAAACAACTCAACAATTAAAATAAACACAAAAAGTGGACAGAGAACATGAAGAGACAATTCTCAAAAGAAGACATACAAATGGCTAACAGGTATATGAAAAAATGCTCAACATCACTAGTCATCAGGAAATGCAAATGAAAACCACAATGAGATAACATCTTAGCCCAGTTAGAATGGCTATTTTTCAAAAGACCCCCCAAAAAAAATCCCATTACTGGGTAACTACTCAAAGGAAAAGAAATCGTTTTATCAAAAAGACACCTATACGTAAATGTTTATCACAGCACAATTCACAATTGCAAAGATATGGAATTAGCCTAAGTGCCCATCAATACATGAGTTGATAAGAAAATGTGATACACACACACACACACACACACACACACACCATGGAGCACTACTCAGCCATAAAAGGACTAGAATAATATCATTCATAGCAACGTGGGTGGAACTGGAGACCATCATCCTAAGTGAAGTATCTCCAGAGTGGAAAAACAAACACCACATGCTCTTACTAATAAGAGGAAGCTAAATCATAATCATAATAAGGGGTGCACAGGGACACAAAATGACTTAAAGGACATTGGAGACTAAGAGGGGAGAGTGGGGGAGGAGGATAAGGAATAAAAACTTACCTAATGAGTATAATGAATGGGTATCATGGCAGCGGGCACACTGAAAGCCCTGACTTCAGCATTATAGAGTGTATCTGTGTAACAAACACTTTTGTAATCCCTTAATATTTTGAAATTTAAAAAAAGAGAAAAAAAAGACACTGATGAGAATGTGATGAAAAGGGAACTCAAAAACGCTGTTGATAGAAATGTAAATTAGTATAATTACTGTGAACAACAGTATGGAAGTTTCTCGAAAACCTAAAAATAAAACTACCATATGCTCCAGCAATTCCACAACTGGAGGTCTATCCAAAGGAAAAGAGATCAGTATATCGAAGGGATATCTGCACTCACATGTTTATTGTAGCACTACTCATAATAGCAAAGATACGGAATTAACCTAAGTGGCCAAGAACGGACAAATGGATAAAGAAAATGTGGTGTATATATATTAAATAGGATACTATTCAGCCATAAAAGTGAATGAAATCATGTCATTTGCAGCAACATAGAGGGAACTGGAGGTCATTATGTTAAATGAAAATAACCCAGGCACAGAGAGGCAAATATTACATGTTCTCACTCACATGTTTAAGCTAAAATAGTTGATCTCATCAAGGTAGAAAATAAAATAATACATACTAGAGGATGGGAACAGTAGATGGGTGGGTGGGAGGGGGAAGGGAAAAGTGGTAGGTTAATGGGTACAAACATACAGTAGATAAAAGGTGTATGTTCTAACATTTAACAGCACAGTAGGATGACTATAGTTAACAACAATGTACTGTGTATTTCAAAGTACTTAGAGAATTTTCTATTTTCCCAACACATAGAAATGATCAATACATGAAGTGATGGCTACCCTAAATATTTTGACTCAGTCATTACTCTGCATATAAGAAAATACCACACATACCCCATAAATATGTAAAGTATTATATATCAATAAAAAGGAATGAAAAAAATCATTAAATGTTTGAAGTGACAAATATACTGTGATTCCCTGAAAATAAGACAGGGTCTTATATTTATTTTTCCTCAAGAAGACACCCTAGGACTTATTTTCAGGGGATGTATTATTATTTTTTTTAAGTATGGTACAACAATCTACATTTATTCAAATATAGTTAAGTCGTCTTCTTCTGGAATATCATAACTCTCCAAACCCCGAATTCCATCCTGAATTTCTTGCGACTCTATTTCCTTTAGAACCATGGGCCCCAATCTCTAATGTCCAGCACTAGAGCTCTCATGGGGCAGATGAGAAGGACTGCTCCTCTTCTTTACCGCTTCGCCAGGAAATGCATGGGTTGTGCAGATGTGCTGTGTAGCCACACCCATTACTAGGTTTTATTTTCGGGGTAGGGCTTATATTGCACAAATGCTTAGAAATCCTGCTAGGGCTTATTTTATGGGTAGGTCTTATTTTCGGGGAAACACGGTACAATTATTATGTGTCATTAAATAAAAAATTTTAATAAAAAAAAATGCCTTGATGTTATATTAAGGAGTTACTTGACCACTTTACCTTCAAGAAGCTAAGAGATAACTTGAAATAGCTCCTGGAGGGTCTAAAAAGAAACAAAAAAGAAGAAATAAAGAATAAAAAAAATGTTATTTAAAAAAAAAGAAAAGAAAAAAAAAGAAGGTAAGAGAAACTGCCAAACAATGATGTAGTGATCAGCATTCCCCCTCTAGACACTGTTTTCCCACCCATAATCAGCACATGATGAAAGCATAAGTTCTATGAGAGAAGCAGCAATAGGAAGCCACTCACAAAGGGAAAAAGGGCTGATAACAAGAATCTATCTAGAACTCAAAAAAAAATCAACAAGAAAAAATCAAAAAACTCGATCAATAAATGGGCAAAAGACATGAACAGAAACTTTTCAAAAGAAGACAGAATAATGGCCAGCAAACACATAAAAAGTGTTGAACATCCTAATCATTAGGGAAATGCAAATCAAAACCACAATGAGATATTACCTAACTCCAGTAAGATTGACTTTTATCAAAAAATCCCAAAGCAACAAATTGCTGGCAAAGATGTGGAGAGACAGGAACACTCTTACACTGCTGGTGGGACTGCAAATTAGTGCAA